ATGAAATTGCCCAAATTGCCAATTTCTAACCACTTTATTGGGTAGTTTAAATCCGTAAATGGGTGGTTTCTTGTACAGCAGGGCCCCGCTTTATGGCGTTTCGCTTTATGGCATTCCGCTAATATGATCATTTCAAATTATGACCAAAACTCGATATACGGCTCCCCCCCACCTGACTTTGTAATACGGTCACTGTGCCCCACCCGGTTTGTTTACATTCTCTGTGAGATCTGTAATCACTAAGTCTCTCCATTTTGTCAGGAAACTCCAAAATTTCAAGTGTTTTTAAAAGTTATTTCATATTTTATATATACAGTGGACCCCCGGTTAACGATTTTAATCCGTGCAAGAGGGCTCATCGTTATGCGAAATAATCGTTATGCGAATGAATTTTCCCCATAAGAAATAATGGAAATCAAATTAATCCGTGCAAGACGCCCAAAAGTATGAAAAAAATTTTTTTTTACCACATGAAATGTTAATTTTAATACACACAAACTGAAAAAGGCATGCACAATTAAATGACACTTACTTTTATTGAAGATCTGGTGATGATTGATGGGATGGGAGGAGGGGAGAGCATTATCTTCTTACTGTTTAGAAGGGGAATCCCCTTCCATTACGACTTGAGGTAGCAAGTCCTTTTCCGGGGTTACTTCCCTTCTTCTTTTAATGCCACTAGGACCAGCTTGAGAGTCACTGGACCTCTGTCGCACAACAAATCTGTCCATAGAGCTCTGTACCTCCCGTTCCTTTACGATTTGTCTAAAATGGGCCACAACATTGTCATTGAAATAGTCACCAGCACGGCTTGCAACAGCTGTGTCAGGGTGATTTTCATCTATAAAGGTTTGCAGTTCAACCCACTGTGCACACATTTCCTTAATCTTTGAAGTAGGCACAATGGATTCCACAATGGCATAGGCTTCTCAGGGTTAGCCCCAAACCCTTCAAAATCTTTCTTAATTTCCATACTAATTCTCACCCTTTTTACCACAGGGTTGGCACTAGAAGCTTTCTTGGGGCCCATGGTCACTTATTTTCCAGAAACAGCACCGAAAACACTGTAATAATACGAAATATTCCGAGTGTATGCTTGGATGTTACCGCGGAGGCTGGCTGGTAAACAATGGGACGGCCGGCACATGTGAGGCTGGCTGAGGGCACATTGGACGCGTCTCGGACGAAAATCGGTAAGCGGGTTTTTAATCGGTATGCGCGGCAAAAATTTTGCGATAAAAGTAATCGGTATGCGGAAAAATCGCTATGTGATGCCATCGTTATGCGGGGGTCCACTGTACTCTGATAATTATACTTATGTATACCTGTACCTAAATAAACTTACACACTATGCTCGCGTGCAGGTACACATTAAAATCAGTGTGTCTTATGTCTCCAGACGTCATATTAGTAATGATAATAACCATCGAGTCATTTAAATGTCATATATTACGTTAATATACACATTTATCATTAATCCATCTATGATATTTTTCAAAATTATATAATAAACACGATGCATAACATATAAATATGATAAATACACCCCACAGTAGAATAAATAAACATAAATGTGAGATGTGGTAGCAGACGATTTGCACAAGTGACTCCATATTAGAAATGATAATAATAATAATAATCACCGAGTCTCATTAAATGTCGTATATTACGTTAATACAGTAGACCCCCGCTTAACGATCACCTCCTAATGCGACCAATTATGTAAGTGTATTTATGTAAGTGCATTTGTACGTGTATGTTTGGGGGTCTGAAATGGACTAATCTACTTCACAATATTCCTTATGAGAACAAATTCGGTAAGTACTGGCACCTGAACATACTTCTGGACTGAAAAAATATCGTTAACCGGGGGTCCACTGTATACACATTTTCATTAATCCATCCATGATATTTTTTTCAAAATTATATAATAAACACGATACATAACATAAAAAGATGATAGATTCACCCCACAATAGTATAAATAAACATAAATATTTGATGTGGTAGCCAGATAACTTGTACAAGTGACAGCAAGAATAACATTTTCTCTAATCTAACGTAAGAGAAAATGTGTTATTGGGGGTAACTGTAGAAAATTATTCCTTTTGTATGTATGTAAGTTTATTCAGGTATACACAAATACAGTTACATAGATTATCATACATAACAACATATGTGTAGGGAACCCAGGATAACCCAAAAAAGTCAGAGTGACTTATTTCCATTGCCTTCACTCAGAGCATCATTTCTTCTCAAAATGATGTTACATGAGAATGAGAGTGTTAAGATAAGATAAGATAAGATTTCGTTCGGATTTTTAACCCCGGAGGGTTAGCCACCCAGGATAACCCAAGAAAGTCAGTGCGTCATCGAGGACTGTCTAACTTATTTCCATTGGGGTCCTTAATCTTGTCCCCCAGGATGCGACCCACACCAGTCGACTAACACCCAGGTACCTATTTGCTGCTAGGTGAACAGGACAACAGGTGTAAAGAAACGTGTCGAAATGTTTCCACCCACCGGGAATCGAACCCGGGCCCTCCGTGTGTGAAGCGGGAGCTTTAGCCACCAGGCCAACTTGTACACAATGTAACTTGTACACAAACCAGACGTGTACACTTTTTTTGTTTACAAAACTTACGTTCGCCTTTTTGTTTACATAACTCGGTGCCTGTCCTCTCTCATGCACTCATTCTTTCTCTCTCTCATTTATTCGTTTTATCTCATTTACTTACTCCTAACCCAACATTAAGACTACAAATATTTTAAGGTAAGTAATGAGTGAACTGTATATACATTTTATCGCTCTGGGATGCTTAAATATCATAGAATAGTATGTGTGGGTGGGTTGGCCTGGTATAGTAGCCCGACTGACTACCATACATACCACACTTGATTTCTTACAATAAATACTGCTTGTCTCACCCTAGATTAAGACTATAAATATTTTAAGGTAAGTAATGAGTGCACTATGTGTGTATTGTACTTTTTTATTGTTTTTTGATGCCTGGTTCTACTGCTAACTTAATATATGTTAGTGTAAACTTGTTATCTAGTGTTTGTATGCATTTATAAGTGGAAAAAAAAGGGTGTTCCACTTTACGGCGATTTCCGCTTTACGGCGGTAGCCTGGAGCCTAACCTGCCATATAAGTGGGGCCCTACTGTACTCAACTGATAGAAAAAATGGAGTTCTAAAGAAATAGCTATGAGTTTGGTCAACTGGAACAATGGAATTGACCAAAAATAGAGCTCAACTCGGTGAAATCGCCGATGCATAGATGTCGCTGAGACTGCTAACTTGGCGGGACCGTAATTCCGTGAGTTTTTGACCAAATTTCATACTTTTGGTGTCATTACCATCGGGAAAAGATTCTCTATCATTTCACAAGAAAAAATAATTATTTTTTTTTTTTCAAAAAATTTTGCGACACAGAATGACAGTTTCAGAAAGAGGCTTGCAACAGTCAAAGGGTTAAGTCCTAAAGCTGAAAGGGTCATTCAGTGCTGATCTAAAAAAAATAAGCAATGATCCTGCAGTATCAGAAATATTCACTGTTAGTAGAGGTTGGTTTGAGCAATTTAAAGAGAATAAGTCTGTGCATATGCTTAAATGATTGGCCAGGATGCAAGTGCTGATGAAGAAGGTGCAAAAAATTATACAAGGAAATTTTTTGTCAATAAATGAGGAAGGCAAATATTTACCTGAGCACATGTTCAATACTGATGATACTGGGCTAATTTCAGAAGAGAATATCATAAAGAACCTTCTTACCTACAATATAAAATGAGTTGTGATGGTTAAGCGGCAGTGGAGAAGTTACAGTTTTGGTAGGTGGTAATGTGAAATGTAAATAAAATTTGCCTGCCAGTAATATGACTAATATAGGAATTACTTCTTCCCATCTGTAAAAAAGTTTATGAAAAGAACATTTCTCATAATGCATCACCTTCAATAATTTTTCAGATAAATGTTAAAGGTTTTCTGTCCTAAAAGGCATCTTTTATTCAATTTATGGATCAATATGTTTAAGAATCATTCACGTTATTATATAACAAGATTCATGTCCCAGTCTCCATGGGGAAGTGGAGAAAAATCCTGCCTCTGTAAGCCATGCGTGTCATACAAGGTGACACTAAAATGCCGGGAGCAAGTGGATAGTAACCCCTTCTCTTGTATAAATTACTAAATGTAAAAAGAAGAAAAACTTTCCTTTCTTCTTTATCGGGTCACCCTTGCTCAGTGGGAGATGGCCAGCGTTGAAAAAAAAAAAAAAACGTCCCAGCATACTGCTTACACAGACAAGCCAGGTAATCCAATAATGAAGGATTTCTGGAAAAAGTACAATATAATGGATGTCATTAACAATCCTGTGTAAATGACTTGCAGAAAAAAATACATCATGTGCAGGTCTAGTCATGAGGGGGGAGGGGGGGCAATAATGTACTGAAAGTGAAATGAGGAAGGACTGTGTCAGTCACACCACATGCATTGTTACACAAGTCGTAACCCATTGCCTTCAAGACATCAATCTTCATTTACTACCTCCCTCCCATATTTAAATAAAAAATCTTAGCTGGAAACTTCATACAGTGTATATATCTACAGCATATGATCATTTGGTGTAGGTGAAGTAAGTTCCTATTTGTTGGGAATAATTAGGTCAAATAATTTTTTCAAACTGAGATTTTTGGGGAATGTTCAAATTGTTATTTTATAAGAGGGTTTTTAGAGCATATATGCAATACTGATGCATGTGTTTTACTGAGCAAACACAAAAATAAAAAATAACCTTTCTGAAGGTGATTGGCAATTCGAGCCATTTGAGTAATAGTTCTGTTGTATCTAGAAGTTAACAACAGTTGTGACCAAGTCACACCTCAAAGTCTTTTGTGAAACAATAACTCTGCTCACTTAAATTTCTAGATAAATGTTGCCTTTCAATAATTCATCATGAAGGGCCTATCTGTAATACTAATTACATATTCACTTTTTACCTTGATAATTTTTAAAGACACAGGAAGACCCCTTTTTTGTCGCAAAAGAGATGAAACACGCCCTCGTCGCCATCCATTGATGCAAATGCCGAAAGCCTCATCTATCACATCTCCAACCTCAATCTTATTCTGTAAAATAAATGGAAAAATAACAAAAATATATTTTTTACTTTTATTATTATTTACAAGAAATAAGCTGAGGTAGAATAACAGCTCTTATCCTGTAAGTTTAAGTGAAAGTAAAAAAAGTACCCTGGAAAACTATTTATTTACACATCCATATTCTAACATACCAAGCATTCTCAGTTGTACATTAGAGATATGCTAAACATGCGAACTCGCATTTGTTATATACATGTTATATACATGGAGAGCGAATAAATCTGTAAGGGAAGGCAGGTGGGGTAGGGGTCGTCCTCGAAAAGGTTGAAAGGAAGGGGTAAAGGAGGTTTTGTGAGCGAGGGGCTTGGACTTCCAGCAAGCGTGCGTGAGCATGTTCGATAGGAGTGAATGGAGACGAATGGTATTTGGGACCTGACGAGCTGTTGGAGTGTGAGCAGGGTACTTGAGTCCTGGAAATGGGAAGTACAATGCCTGCACTCTAAAGGAGGAGTTTTGGGATATTAGAGGTTTCGAGGGATATGTTGTGTATCTTTATACGTATATCCTTCTAAACTGTTGTGTTCTTAGCACCTCTGCAAAAACAGTGATTATGTGTGAGTGAGGTTAAAGTGTTGAATGATGATGAAAGTATTTTCTTTTGGGGATTTTCTTTCTTTTTGGGTCACCCTGCCTCAGTGGGAGACAGCCGACTTGTTGGAAAAAAAAATGTAAAAAAAAAAAATCACTTGTGCTCTGTATAAAGTACATATCACCTATATTACTATGTACTACACTAATATTCCTGCTGCCATGTGGTTAATTGCATATGTATAAATACTGTGAATGTTTTTTCTTCTCTGAGTCATCTTGTCTTGGAAGGAAATAGCCACTGAGGTAAAAAAGTGTACAGTAATGCAAACTATTTTTCATTACATTGGTATGAAATAAAAATAAAACATGCAGAGCGTGCAAAGACAAAATAATTGATGCCATTTTTTTTTATATTAAGTATATTTTTTTTTTTATTATCACACTGGCCGATTCCCACCAAGGCAGGGTGGCCCGAAAAAGAAAAACTTTCACCATCATTCACTCCATCACTGTCTTGCCAGAAGGGTGCTTTACACTACAGTTTTTAAACTGCAACATTAACACCCCTCCTTCAGAGTGCAGGCACTGTACTTCCCATCTCCAGGACTCAAGTCCGGCCTGCCGGTTTCCCTGAATCCCTTCATAAATGTTACTTTGCTCACACTCCAACAGCACGTCAAGTATTAAAAACCATTTGTCTCCATTCACTCCTATTAAACACGCTCACGCATGCCTGCTGGAAGTCCAAGCCCCTCGCACACAAAACCTCCCTTACCCCCTCCCTCCAACCTTTCCTAGCCGACCCCTACCCCGCCTCCTTCCACTACAGACTGATACACTCTTGAAGTCATTCTGTTTCGCTCCATTCTCTCTACATGTCCGAACCACCTCAACAACCCTTCCTCAGCCCTCTGACAACAGTTTTTGGTAATCCTGCACCTCCTCCAAACTCCAAACTATGATTCTCTGCATTATATTCACACCACACATTGCCCTCAGACATGACATCTCCACTGCCTCCAGCCTTCTCCTCGCTGCAACATTCATCACCCATGCTTCAACACCCATATAAGAGCGTTGGTAAAACTATACTCTCATACATTCCCCTCTTTGCCTCCAAGGACAAAGTTCTTTGTCTCCACAGACTCCTAAGTGCACCACTCACTCTTTTTCCCTCATCAATTCTATGATTCACCTCATCTTTCATAGACCCATCCGCTGACACGTCCACTCCCAAATATCTGAATACGTTCACCTCCTCCATACTCTCTCCCTCCAATCTGATATCCAATCTTTCATCACCTAATCTTTTTGTTATCCTCATAACCTTACTCTTTCCTGTATTCACCTTTAATTTTCTTCTTTTGCACACCCTACCAAATTCATCCACCAATCTCTGCAACTTCTCTTCAGAATCTCCCAAGAGCACAGTGTCATCAGCAAAGAGCAGCTGTGACAACTCCCACTTTGTGTGTGATCTTTATCTTTTAACTCCACGCCTCTTGCCAAGACCCTCGCATTTACTTCTCTTACAACCCCATCTATAAAATATATTAAACAACCACGGTGACATCACATATCCTTGTCTAAGCCTACTTTTACTGGGAAAAAATTTCCCCTTTCCTACATACTCAACTTGAGCCTCACTATCCTCATAAAAACTCTTCACTGTTTTCAGTAACCTACTTCCTACACCATACACTTGAAAAATCTGCCACATGCCCCCCATCCCCTCAACCCCTTTTTTTCCAAAACCATAAATGCCACAAAGCCCTCTTTACCCTTATCTAAATACTGTTCACTTAAGTTTCACGAAACCCCCGGGTCCACACCCCCCCAAACCTTCCTAAACCTCCTTGTTCATCTGCAACCATTCCCGTCTTACTCTTAATTTTTCAATTTTTTAAACTCTCCCATACACTTTACCGGGTATACTCAACAGACTTATCCCCTAAAATTTTTTTGCCCCTTTTTTCCCTTTCCCTTTATACAAAGGAACTAGCTGCCTTCCCAAATCCCTAGGTACCTTACCCCTTATACATTTAAAAATAATTGCCCCAACCACTCCAAAACATTTTCCCCACCTGTTTTAACTTTTCTATCTTTATCCCATCAATCCCGGCTCCCTTTACCCCCCTTTCCTTTTTACCTACTGCCTCCGAACTTCCCCACACTCCAACGCTTTTCCCCTCACCCTACAAATTTTTTCCCTCCTTGCCCAAAACGAAACACAGTTTCCCCACTTCACACTTTTAACAATTCCTCAAAATTTTCCCCTCCATCCCCAAAAAAACCCTAACTCTCCTTTAATAACTCTCCTCCCTATTTTAACGACAAATCCTTGTTCTCTAGTTTTCTTAACTTTTAATCTCACCCAAAATTTTTTTCTTATTTTCAACAAAATTTTTGATAACATCTCACCCACTCTCTCATTTGCTCTCTTTTTACATTGCTTCACCACTCTCTTTAACCTCTCTCTTTTCTCCATATCCCTTTTCCCTCCTTGCACACTTCATTTTGAAAAAAACTTCTCATATGCTAACTTTTTCTCCCTTACACTCTCTTTACATCATCTTCCCCAAATCGCCCTTTTTTCCCTCCTAAACCCATTTTCCCTTAACCAAAAACTTCTGCTGAACACTCTAACATTATTTTTAAAAAACCTACCCAACTCTTCTACCCCATTGCCTTTCTCTCATTAGCCCATCTATCCTCCAAACTGTTTATATCTTACCCTAACTGCCTTTCTTTTTTTTTATAAACCCTTTCACCTCCCTTCCCTGATGCTTCTATTCCCTTGTACCATCTTCCTTTTACTCTCAGTGTAGCTACAACTAGAAAGTGATCGATATATCTGGGGCCCCTCAAAAACATGTACACCTGAAGCCCACTAAACAGTCTTTTATCACCATACATAAATCCAACAAACACTGTCATTTTTGCCCTAATCTATCTTGGATACTTATTTACCTCTTTTTCTTTAAAAATGTATTCCCAAAACTAAACCCCCCTTTTAACAAGTTCAATCAAAGGGCTCCCCTTATCATTTACACCTGCACCCCAAACTTTCCAAAACCCCAACCCCCTAAAAGTTTTTCCCACTTTAGCATTCAGGTCCCCTACCCAATTACCCCACTTGGGTTTAAAGGCTCCTATACATTCATTAACATCTCCCAAAAACTCTCCTCCTCTCATTTCCCCTCTTCTCCAGGTCAAACACGCTTATTATACCCCCCTTCTCGCATCCCCCTTACTTTTAACCACTAATTCTTTAATTTACACATTCAATTTTCCTTTTTCTCCTCCAAACGACATTTTAACATTATGGGTACCCCTTTCCTTTGCTCTAATAAATTCAACAAATAAAATGTATGAGGTGTGAAAAAATTTAAAAGGGTTAAAAATAAGCTGTAGCCACACGGGGGGGTTTGTCAAAATGTTTGACAGACATTTTTTCAATACTGTAAAGTATCTTTTAAAATTTAAAGGTTTTATTACTGTACTTTTAATAATTAAAATTCAAAGCAATAACAAATTCAATATACAATTAATGTATTAACTGTGATTATATTTGACAATGCAACATTTACCCATTATACCTAAACAATAATTAACAAAATTAATTTTCCTTAGGTCAAGACACATATTTTCCCAAATAACTAGGCATCACACAGAAAACAATTTAATGAAGGATTATTAACACAAAGTGGGAGTTCTCACAGTTGCTCTTTGCTTATGACACTGTGCTTTTGGGAGATTCTGAAGAGAGGTTGCAGAGGTTGATGGATGAGTTTGGTAGGGTATGTAAAAGAAGAAAACTGAAAGTGAATATAGGAAAGAGCAAGGTAATGAGGATAACAAAAAAAATTAGGTAACGACAGACTGGATATCAGGTTGGAAGGAGAGAGTATGGAGGAGTTGAATGTACGTATTCAGATATTTAGGAGTGGACGTCTCAGCAGATGGGTCTATGAAAGATGAGGTAAATCATAGAACTGAGGAGGAAAAAAGGTGAGTGGTGCACTGAGGAGTCTGTGGAGACAGAACTTTGTCCATGGAAACAAAGAGGGGAAAGTATGAGAGTATAGTTATACCAATGCTCTTATATGGGTGTGAAGCATGGGTGGTGAATGTTGCAACAAGGAGAAGGCTGGAGGCAGTGGAGATGTCATGTCTGAAGGCAATGTATGGCATGAATATAATGCAGAGAATTCGTAGTTTGGAAATTAGGTGGTGGTGCGCAGGATTACCAAAACTACTATCCAGAGGGCTGAGGAGGGGTTGTTTAGGTGGTTCGGACATGTAGAGAGGGTGGAACAAAATAGAAATGACTTTGAAAGTGTATAAATCTGTAGTGAAGGGAAGGCGGGGTAGAGGTCGGCCTAGGAAAGGTTGGAGGGGGGGAGTAAAGGAAGTTTTGTGTGCGAGGGGCTTGG